CCCCAAAACCCCAAAACCCCAAAACCCCATGAGGATGGAATTTTTCAATTAATCAGATGATTGGTTTAATAAAATTTATATGGAGAATAAGCGATAACTTTTATATTAAATAACATCATACTCTTACAAATAAACAGTAAAAATAAAAATGAGTCAGATAGATAACTATACGGAGCTAAGTTCTAACGGTAAGGACAATTCTGTACAATTGAACTAGATAGAAGAAAATTAAAATCTAAATCTCATTGAGGAAACTATACCAGCACAAATAAGTGATGAGGAAATAGACTTGAGATACTTTGGGATTTTCAAAGAGTTTCACATCTAAGAAGGAACAAAAGTGATAAAACTTAAAGAGATTTTGTTCATTCAAGAGAGAGATATTTTACTTTACTAAACCTAAGAAGTTGATTAAAATAATCTCAATAGATCTAACTACTACTTGAATTTGAGATAGCTATCAACTAAAAAACTGCTAAATAAAGTTTAAACTAATGATAGTGGAGCATTCAAAAATTAATATTTTCAATAAAGATCTGTAGACTACATTTATATTTCATTCTATAAAGATAATTTTAGAATGGCCAAGCTGGATGATCTGTTAATTCCTGGATTTCAATTTAACTCCTTAAAGGTTTTTTAGAAGAATTTTGAGAGGATGAAATGTGTTTAAGATAAAATTGCTATCATGGTAAATCTGAAAAAGCTGTTAATATTTGACCTCTACATTGAAGATTTTGAGACAAAATTTCCTTAAACAAAAGATGAACTTAATTCTCTAACTGATCAAATGGTTAATGAAAATTACAAGGAAAACACGCTAATAAAACTTAAATCCTCTGTAGATGGTCTAAATGTTTTGGGGACATATCTTGAAGGCCCTTATGAATTGGAGCCTATAATGAGAGATTCTCAGATTTTAATTCTTAATAGAATAAAATACTAGTCTCAATTAATTGTATATGACATGAAAACTCTATAAATGCAAGGTACAGCCTAGCAGCTAGAAAAATGTATATATGTGATTAAATTCTAAGGGCCTTGTTGGGTTTTCTTCTAGAATGACAAATGCTATTTTATAGACAAGGATAATTAGATTAGCAATGTTAGTGTATGGGACAAAAAGTATACTCCTATTTTATAGTTAAAATATAACTTTGAGGAGACAGTATTACTTAAGAAAGTAACATTTATGGATAATTTGATTTTTCTAAAAATGTCAAAATCACTAAGCAATTAGACTTATGAATAATACTTAGTAATATATGATATAATTCAGTAGAGAGAAGTTAATAAGTTACAAATTGATGGGAATGACTATTTTTTTCTGGATAGAGCATAAAAATAAATATATCTAGCTAAGTTTGAACTCATGAAATTTGTACAAATAAATGTCTACTACTATACACTATAACTAAATAATATAAGTTTTGTCGCCTAATCGAACTTAATTGGTGAACTACCTGAGCTAGATAGAATTTCAAGCAATAATAATTATTCGAATTTGAAGAAGTCCAAGCTTAGAGTTGATGATAAATTTGTTTATTCTTGCTTTAACTTGTACTATTTAACTAATCAACGTAGAATATCAGCCAAAGAATTGTTGAAAGACATTGTGCCTGAAGTGAAAGGATATCATGGAATAGTTGAGAATATAAAATTAGGAAAGTAATATGCGTTTTAAATCAAAACTAGAGGAGATAAAGTTTTAAGTTATTTTGATATTTTGGATCCTAATTTTTCCTAAATACTTACCTTTAATGAAGCATTAGATGAAACTACTAATTAAGTTATAATAGATGAGAAAAAAGATTTGCTTATATTAGCTAGCAATAAATCAATAAAGGCTTTTTCACACTCAAAAATGAGCAAGATTGAGTCTTTAACAATAAATGAATGTTCAAATTTATGCATTGAAATATTTGAGGATTACTTACACTTTTATGTTTACAGAAATAAATTTGGATTTTACCACAAGTTCATTTACTATAAAAACAATAAAATATCTAGAACTTTGGATATTTACTAAGAATCTCTCAATGATTTGCTTTTCAAAAGTTAAAACTACTCAGTTTTATAGAAAGTAAAAGATTCCAATATCAAGTTTAGATATAAGAATAATTTTGAGCTATAACTAGAATTCAAAAATATTAGGAATGTTGAGAATGACTCTCTTAATCTTTTCTCTATATAACATTTATAGTAATACTTTAAGGATGCTAAATCAATTAAAATTGGTAATGATGCATCAATAAGATTTAAATTCTTAGACAATGATGAAGATAAATCTGATGGATTTTTGAAAATAAACTTTTCAATAATGAAAATAATGGAATATAGAAATATTTATACGCTATAAACTGATGATGTCTACAAAAATCTTTAAAATGTAAATGAGTACTTGTATCATGTTCCAGGCTTTGGGAATTGTTTCAATATGTTTTGCTAAAATATACTAATACTTGAGTATCTATGCAAATAAATCCAAGATATACAAAGAGATAAGCTTCCTATACTTATAAATAAGAATTTATTGAACGGAAGTTCTCCACTTGATAAAGTATTAGAGATGAGTTAGTAGAAAAATGTTTTCATAATTCTTGATTTGATATTAAAGTACTAGAATCACATCCTCTTCAATGAGATAGTAGACAAAAACATCTGTAGAATGGTATCCTAAAGCATTAATTTGCAAGACTACTTTTAAAGTTAATTACCAATATATCAAATATTCGACGATAAATATCCAATCTTTCATACAGATGACAGTGAACTTCTAGTTGGTGTAAATTTAGACCATCCTTTAGAATGTCATGAGATGTATGAAACTTTATTTGCTTAAAAATTAGATGAATATGATGATAGCAAGCCTTTAAACTCGATTGAATACTTGTTAATAAACTTACCTCACACTCTTTAAGATGATAATGTCAAAATTATCAGGCAGTTAAAATCAACAGAGTAACATGAATATTTTGAAAACACAGTAATATAAACCATAATAAAATTCAAGTGGAAGTAGTACACCAAACAATTCTTCATCAATCAATTCTTACTATATCTCACATTCATTGCGTCATTTATTGTGGAAATTTATCACTAAACATTTTACGGTAGATTATAGGATAATCTGGATTAGGATATGAGACAAAACTACCTATTTATCATAAATAAGATTATATCAGCTGGAATCTTATTTTACTTTTTTGTCTTTGAAGTGAGATAGATGAAAATTCAAAGATCTAAATACTTTTAGTACCTATGGAATATTATTGACATGATTCACATTTCATGCTATATTGTGTTAAGTATTGTTGAGTATCATTCAGATAACAGTGATAATGTTGTTTTACTATTTGTTGTTGTGATATCATTTACCTTTCTAAAGCTTTACTATTTCCTTAGAATATTTGAAGGCTTTAGTTTCTTAGTACAAATGATAGCAAAGGTCTTCTAAGATTTGAAATTTTTTATTGCTTTTTTCTTGATATTTATTGTTTAGTTTGGATTAATCTTTACAGTCTTATTTAAAGCTGCACCCATTGAGGAATATGATGGAGTTAATGCTTTTGGATATTATTTGATGATTTTTAGAATATCAGCTGGTGACTTTACCACTGATAATTACAAAGATTAATCTTAATACTTGATAATACTTACTTGGATTGTATGGATAATAGCTGTAATCATTCTTAATATAATCTTCATGAACTTTATCATTGCAGTTATCTCTGAGTCCTATGAAAAAGTCATGTAAAAGATAATAGCCGAGTCATACAAGGTCAAAGTACACATGATAAAGGAAAGAGAGCATTTTTTCAAAGAGAAGGATTTTTTAAATGAAAAATTTTTCCCAAAATACATAATTGTTAGAAGATTAGTTAATTCAGAAAGCCTAGAAAATGGTAAGAAATTATTTAAGTTTTAACAATATTTATAGAGGAATGGTAAGGTTTCATAAAAGATATTAAGAATACTATTAAGACTACTGCATCTAAGCAAAATTAAGAGTTGAATTATAACTTATCTACTATTTAAAATTAGCTAACAGCGATTAAGTAAGATAACAAATAATTGGATTAGAAGATATTGAGTGTAGAATCCGATATAAAGGAGTTAAAAACTGAAATTAATAATAAATTCAGTACATTTAAGAATGATATGAATTTCTTAAAAGGAAGTATGATTAAATTATTGAAAGATAGTAAATAATAAACAGACGATGACATTTGAATAAAGAAAATTATAATTAAAATCTTAGTAAATTTGTAATAATTCCAATTCTCATATATTTCGAAATATTCTAAGATTTAGCATGGGGTTTTGGGGTTTTGGGGTTT